TGACCAATTTACCATATATGACAACTGCCTGAACTGCAAGACCAGCCATGGTTTCCTTCAGTGTCTTCTTTCCTCTATTAATTGGTATAGAAAAGGGACTTTTTGCTAAGAAGGAGGATTTCAGAGTCTCTGAGATGTCCTCTTCCCTTGTCTAACCTGACAAGTAGTCCCTTTGATTTTTATGAAGCTATGTTAACAAGGACATATGCCTTCTATAACTCCTGTAGCTAATGATATACATTCTCCCTAATAAGCACATTTTTTTTTTGCCTTGTACAACTAGTGGCCATGTTTCTCCCATACTTAAAAAACCCTCATTTGATCACCCATACCCACTCTCACCCCATATCTCTTCACCCTTTTGTAGCAAAACTCTTTTTGAAGGCTGTTGATAATAGTTGCCTCTTCTTCCTTTTCTCTCTCTCTCTTCTTAAATCTCTATAGTTTGACATGAAATAAAACAACTGTCTCCAAAGATTGCACTAACAATCTTTTATTTGGCAAATCTAACCATCTTTTCCTCATCCTTCTTGACTTCTGTAACTTCTGCAACTATCTCTAATCCTCTTCTCCTAGAAACTCTTTCTCTCTAGTTTTTTGTGATACTACTCTGTCCTGGGTCTCTTCCTAAATATCTGAGTGGTCCTTTTCAGCCTTCTTTGTTGGGCCTTCACCTGGTGATACTAGTTAAAGGTGAGTCTTCCACAGGGTTCTGTCCTGTGCCCTCTTCTCCTCTGCCTTTATACTATTTTTCTTGGTGATATCATCTCCTTCTTTAAATTTAATTATCATCTCTGTGCTGAAGATTCTCAAATCTACTTATCCAGAGTCAACTTGTCTGCTTACTTCCTGTCACACATCTTTACCTATTCAACATCTTGAATAGGATATCCCATAGACATCTTAGACTCAGCATGTCCCAATCTAAACTTCATTAGCATTCTTCTCCCAAACACTCCTCTCTTCCTAACTTACCTATTGATGAGGACACCACAATCCTCCAAATTGTCCAGGCCAGCTATTGCTAGGTGTCATATTTGACTCCTCACTCCCCCCGCTTGTCCTCCACCCATGAAATTTCATGCCAATGCATATCCATTTTATCCATAAACTCCTCAAATACATTTTCTCTCCTTTGAAACTGCTGCTTTCTTGGTACAAGCCCTCACTGCTTCATCTTAGACCAATGTCATAGTCCAGGGTGTTGATTTGTCTCCCTCCCTCAAGTCTGAGGCCACCAGCATCCATCATCCATCAGTCGTCTTTTCCTAAAGCATAGACCTTCACTTCTCACTCTCTCACCTCTAAGATCAATATTCAATTCTTTCCTTGACATTCAAAGCCCCCTATAACTACCCCCATCCTCACTCCCACTCCGCAGTTCCATTCTTCTTACTTATTAACCCCACCCCCCACCCCATTTCACATCATGTGTTCTGGGATCCAGTGACACTAGCCTCATTGCTATTTTTCATACAACACATTCCCTTTATTGATGGTTCTTTTTCACCACTTCCCCCATACCTGGAGTATTTTCCCTGTTCATCTCAGCCTCCTGGCTTCCATGGTTTCCTTCAAGTCCCAGCTGACATGCCACCTTCTACATGAAACCTTTTCCATTCTCCCTTAATTTTAATTTCTTCCTTTGTTGATTACTTAAAATTTCTTTCCTGTGTATAGTATATTTGTACATAATTGTTTGCATGTTGACTTATCCTTTAGACTGTGAGCTTCTTGGGAGCTGGGACTGTATTTTGTCTTTCTTTGTATCCGAAAGACTTTTTAAAGTGCCTTAATAATAACAACTTAATAATAACAACTTAATAAATAACTCTATTTTCCATCAGTAGCTCTGCTTGGCTTCCACTCCAGGGAATAACATGCCCTCCCCATTAGGAAAAGGTGACACCTGAGATTTCATCACTAGAAAGGATGACTCAGGTTTTGATAGTCTACATCTTCTCAACTAACCTTCAGCTGACTCTTACCATTAATTGTAGGGCTGGAGAGCTGATCACTAAGCTCCTCCCAAAGCCTTCCTTTACAGAAGGTAACTCCATTTGGCTATCAGCAGCCCCATCCCTCCTGTCTGCTTTCTTTTATACTGCCTTCCCCCATTAGGTTATAAACTCCTTGTGGGCAGGAATTATCTCTTTTTCTTATTCATATCCCCAGTGCTTAGCACGATGCCTGGCACATAATCGTCGTTACATCTTTATTGAATTGAATTGAAATTGAATAAATGTTTAAATAGATCAATGATAGTTATTAACTCCCTTTATTATAAATGTTTGCCAGCTGACTTACTGACTCATAATTCCTCATCTATTGCCTTCTAATAGTCCCTTCTTCCATCTCATAGGATTTGTCCCAGGCCTTGGCTCTGCTTCTTATTCTGAAGTAGAACCAATGATAACTGCTCTGTTCTGTTAAAGGGGTTTTACCCCACCACGAATCATCAAAGGCCCATTTGCTAGGGGCAATTACATTATGCCTGTGTTTTATTGAAGACCATAAGCCTGCCATGAAGAATGTGCAAGAAATAGCAGCCTATTGCATAGTCTTTAAGTGGGGGACCTTTGGTATGTTAGAAGGAGCATTGTCCTGGGAGCTAGGAGACCTCAGTTCTAGCCCCAGATCTGCTTTTACTTGGCTTGGAAATGTTACTTGACTCCTCTGAACTCCTCTGAATTCCCTCATCTTTCAAAAGTGGAAGATAAAACTAACTAAGTCATTTTCCACTTGTAGGCTGCAGAGTCCAGCAACTCTTGTAAGAGATTCATCTCATTAAAAGACTCGGTAGTAAAAAAAAAAAATGAAACAAACAAAATGAACTTCAACTCATGTATTTATAAATGACTAAGTAGTGAATCTCCAACACACTTATAGCTTTTGTATCAGAGATGCCCTGCTAACAGAAGGGAGGTCAGGATAACCTTTAGCATCCTAAACTTTCCCTTCTGTGGCTAATAATACTCTCTCCCCTCCCCCACTAATGAATGGTAGACTCTGGGAATATCAGTATCAGGAACTCCACCAAGGGTAGCTATTAATTCTCTTTATAAGCATTTGTGTTAGGTTAGCTCAAAACTTTGAAAAGAAAGTCAATAGACTCCTTTCAGAAGGCAATCTCACCAAAGATTTCTCCCATTTCTGGTAGTGGACAGATGTGAGATACTGAAAAAGTCATCCTTGACACAGTCAATCACTTTATGTTACATTAAATTAACCCACAGGACAGCAGGATGTATTAACCCAATGATATCACTGTGAAGTTAGACTAGGAGAGGCATTCGTGGAGCCTCATGCTGTCTGCTTCTGTACAGGGCCCTGGTCTCTCTAGTCTCATGAAGATGAACGTGGCCACAGCACAGATTTCCTTCTTTTCCCACATTGGACTTGACATGCTTGAGGATCATACTACCTTGCATCACCTTAGGTTTTTAACATCTTTAAGAACAATCTATATTCTCATTGTTCTCTGAGCTCAGCCTCACTCCTGGATACATCTGTGACCTTGTCAGATTCCAAAGGTCAAGAGACTGCACATGAAGAGGTGTAGCTCTCATCACCTTCTCAGGAATTTATGCAGGAAAAGCTTTAAAAATATACAAGTTATCAAATGAGTCCTTACTCAGAACATCCTCTCAACTGAACTCTTACACCAGTGGTTCCTGAACTTTTTGGTCTAGGACACAATACACTCTTAAAAATTACTGAGAATCCCTAAAATGATTTTCTTTATGAGTTATATCCGTTGATATTTGCCACATTAGAAATTAAACTGATAAATTAGAATCAACTACTCATTGATTCAATTAAAATAATAACAATAATAAACATGTTACATCTTAATTCAAAATTCAAAACAATTTTTTTTAAGTATCAGTGAGAAGTGTCACTGTTTTACATAACTGGAAATCTATCCACTATCTGGCTTAACAGGAGAAAACTGGATTCTCATATCTGCTCTCCATTCAATCTGTTGCTACCCATTGTTTTAGCTGAAGTATATAAAAAAAAGCCTGGACTCACACAGATATACACTCAGAAAAAGGAGGTATACTTTAAGAGGCAAAGAGAGACTTAGTACAATTACGTAAATAGTTGTGACCTAAGAAGACCCCTGAAAAGAGGATTAAGGAGTGAGAAGCAACTCATTGTGCAGTGAATAGAGTTCTGGGCACAGAGTCAATTAGAGTTGGGTTCAAATCCAGCCTCAGATACTCACTAGTTGTGAGACTCTGGGTAAGTCACTAACCCTTTTTTTTTACCTTACTTTCCACAACTTTAAAATGAGAGGAATCAATACTACTTACTTCTCTGGGTAATTGTGAGAATCAATGAGGTAATATTTGTATAAAGCACTTTACATTGTGCCTGGCACGTAGTAGGCACCATATAATGCTCATTCTCTTCTCCCCTCTTCCAGAGGTCATGGGACCATTGAGAACTGCTGGATTAAATGGTTCTTGAGGCTTCCCTTGGCTGCAGATTTATCCTCTATGGTCCCATGACATAGTTTACATGGAAGGCAATCCTAGATATATCCCTATCTCTCCCCCAGAGGACTAATGGACAATATTTTCTCATTAGACCACAGTCCAACAGTCTCCCCTACCCATTCTCCCAACTCCCTTTAGCCAAATCACTTCCTGAGGAAAGAGAAAGGACAGAGAATGCTGGGTGGGAAGGACTTAGTCTGACCAGGAAGAAGAGGAAGATTCTCTCTGTATACTGCTGCTTCCTCCTGGCCACAGGGAGAGGACAAGGGAAGAGGCAGTGAGGAGCTGGCATCCTCCTCTCCTGAATGTTCTTCCTAAACAGAACCTGTTTCCCCAGCAGCTGCCATGCACCTGAAGTTGTCCTCTCAGACCAGACAAATCCATTTCCATTTGCCTGGATGTTGATGAAGTGCTAGGCCCAGTTCTCCTTACCTTCACCCTCTTCCCTTTGCCCAGGCTCATTGGATACCGAAACATGGGGTAGATGTGTGTGAGATCAGGAAGCCTATGGTATGACAAGCTGCAGTAGTGGTTCTAAGGGCCAAGGCACTTCTGCTCCTTCCTCTCCTCCCACTTCCCCAACCATAGCCTCTCCCACTCTCTCTTACTTCTTCTTTCCTCTCAGAGGCTCAGAATCCGGCAGTGGAGAATCAGGACCAACACCCTCCTGCCATCCATCAGGCCAAGGACAGCATGAAGAGACCACCTCCCATGTCCCCTGCCTCTGGACCCACAGAATCATGATGGCCCAGGCAGCCCCACTGCTACTGCTGCTGCCTTTGCTGTTAATGGGTACCTGGGGGTGGAGGAGGTTAGGGAAGGGTAGAGGTGATGACTGACAGGGAGCAGAGAAGAGAGAGGAGAGTGGCAGAAGGGAGGGAGTACAATGTTGTGTTGCAATGAGGGACTGGGGAGGGATGGGAGCAGTGGTGTGCTGGAGCCAGCTCACACTGGCTTAGAAGAGCTGATTGTTCAATTTGCAGTGAGAGCATTTACAATTTGAAAATTGGCAAACACTGCATACGAACGAAGAGTTGATTAATTGCTCAGTTAATTGGCTAGTCTTTAAAAAAGGAGGGAGAAAATGTCAATAATGCAAATTAAACTTTAAAATGTGTCATGAGTAGGTATGTATACATGTAGATGGATATGCTTATATATATAAAGTGATAGAGGAGACAGAAGAAAGAAGGAAAGACAGAGAAGGGGAGGGAAGAAGAAGAGTGACAGAGGGAAGGAAAGAGAAAGAATTGAGAGAACTGGTTGTTAATTGTTTACTAGCACATCACTGATTCAGAGGCTCCTTTGGGTGAGAGGCAGGTTCTTTAAGGCTTGTTTTCTAAGAAGAATGTAGTATTTAAGGAGACCAGCCCCCTTACCTTATTCCTGTTCTTCAGTCAAGGAAGGAAGGGACTCAAGGGAGGCCCAGCTGGGCTCCCCCTGACCTGATGAACTGCTTTTCAGGTTCACAGGGAGAGGTGTTGCCAGTGAAGTACCAGGAGGGGCAGACACTCAGAGTGAACTGTGGCTACAATCCCCAGAGAGCTGAGAAGAGGTGGAAAATCTGGTGTAAAGTGAGAGAGGATGAAAGGTGGTGTGAAAGAATAATTACCAGGAACTCAGTGGACACTGCACAACTTACAGACCTACAAGCCTCCCTGGTGGATGACACCTACACTGGTACCATCACCATCACCACGTCTAACCTCAGAGTGAAGGACTCGGGCATCTATTGGTGTGGAATCTATGACCCTGTCAGTGACACTACTGATGTTCTCAGGACAATCAGGCTGGAGGTTTCTCCAGGTAAGGCTCTGCCAACTCAATCCCCTTCAGTTCCAGCAGAGCTTAGGAAATACCTGGTGTGAACATGACCGTGGGCTAGGATGTGAAGTTGGGTCTCCTTGGGGTCTCCAGGGAGAAGCTGCTCCCCCTCCTTCAGTCCTTCAGCTTCCTGCCCCTCCCCGTTCCCTTCCACTCCTCACTTCCTTCCAAACCACAGTTTTGATGGTAGCTCCTTTTCTGGTCCCTGGGGAAGGTGAGGCGTTTCCTTCTGTGGTCTCATTCCCATGCAGGGCCAACATTTGTCCTGGGGCTTCTAAGTCTTGGGTGTCCTGTGTCACACACTCACATTCATTCATACAAATGTACCTGTGGCTTACACAAGCATAGATGCACACAGGGTCCTCCCAACATATACACAGACACAGAATTGTGCTTCACTGATTTAGGGTGCTTGAAGCTCTGGCCCCAGGAGACAAGGAGAGGGGTGTGCTTCCATCGGAGGCATTGTTGGAGCAGTTCCTGGCAGGTTCTGATGAAGAGCATAGACATAAGATCAAGTTTTAGTTGTGAAAATAACTCGTGCTGTGACCCTGAGATGTCATTCCACCTCTCTCAGGCTTAGTTCCTCATTTATAAAATGAGGTTGGAGGGGAGAGATGTGATTGTAACAATGAGAGTGGGAATTACAAATGCTCTGCATTTGAGAATTTTTAGTATTGCCTTCATTCTGGACACCAACCACAGTCACCTCCTAGGGATAGAGGAAGCATCCCATAGGGATATCCTTGGTCAAGCCATCAGAGTGCCTTGGGGTGTCAAAGGAGTCTGATGGTGACATTAGCAGTAGAAACAATAAGCTAGAATACATAACAAAACATAATGAATGAGATATGACATACTATATTATATTAGCCCACAGCATGCTTGCATATGATGCCTAAAGCTTTTTCAGGGCTCAACACCTTTTTGGGGCCAGCAGCCTAGTGTTCTGGCTTCTCCAGGGAAGAGGAGGCATGTGAGGTGTGGGGTCAAGGCCGAGTGTTTTCTTCCTCTGTTCTTCTTTCAGCCACAACATCGAAGACCACCAAACATTCTCAAGCTACCACTGAGACACCTCTCATGACGTCTGCCATACCTTTGGCCACCAGCAGGTACAATTCCTTTTTGGAAATCCATTGTGTGTCAAGATCTCCTAGCCTCAGCGGTCATTGTGGGGTTCACTAATGCTGCCCCACACTCAGTCCAAAGTGACCTCTTTCCAGGCTTTCCTGCTGGATGGGAAAAGAAAAGGGCAAACAAGAGGACCTGAGGGTTCCCTGGGGCCTAGTGGAACTGTACTGACTAGCTTTTTCCCTTTCCCTCATTTCCAAGTTCAGGATGTCTTGAAATCTGATTTCTTTTAGCCCTGGCCTGACATTTTTAGTCCTGAACCTATACTAACTACCCTGTGTCATATGCTAAGCCAGGGGTGGGGAACCTTTTCATAGTGGAAGGCTCCATTAATATTTAGCAGTAATCAAATAAAATAAAAATATGAAAGAGGAAAAAAATTATTAATGAAAATGAAAGGATTTGTTCTATAAAATTTCTAGTAAGTCAAACGGTTGATCTTAGGGACCCAGAAGGCCACAGTTTCCTCATCTGTGTGATAAGTCCTTCCCTTACTGCACCACTATATTTTTGATGGTGGTTATTGTTTATGACACTTCCTCATCTCCAGATAAACCAGGAAGCCCCAAATTCCTCTCTGATGAACAACTTTTTCTTCTTGATAAGCTGGGAAGCATTCCCTCATGACTGATGGGCAGCTCTAGTGGCTTCCTATTGCTTGGAGGATGAAGTCCTGGGTTCCGTCTGACACTCTTCAGACTCTGGTTCCAGCCAACTTTTCTAGATTGATAGAACCTTGCTGTATTCCACATCCTCCATGTTCCAGCCAAACAGTCTTCCTTGCTTTTCCTCACACACAACATGCCAGCTCTCATTTCTAAGCCTGTACGCTGTCTCTGTCCCATGCTTCAATGCAAGCCCTCCTCACTTCAGCCTTTAGTTATCTGGAGCTTCCTTCAAGTCTCAACTCAAACACTTTCAAAGAGACTTTCTTCATCCCCCCTAATTGCCAGTGACTCCTAAACATTTCTTTGTATTTTTCTGGTTGAATGTTGCATCTACTTGTTGGTGAATGTGTTGTCATCCCCCTAGAATATTGGGAAGCTCCTTGCAGGGCTTCTGTCCTGCTTTCCCCCCATCTAGTACAGCTCCTGGCTCTGGGCAGGCACTTAGTTCATAAACACTCCTGGATTCATTCAGAGACCTGAACCCTGCTTTGGGCCTCTGTGACAAGAGAAAACTAAATAGAAAAAAATCAACTCTTCAGACATCCCAAAGTCACAAAGGGAGGAGAAATGGTGACTAGGATTCCTACTGTAGGATGTTATGTTTTTTCCTCTCTCTTCCCTTCCCTCTCTGTGGTGGCTCACCCTCATTCTGTCTTTGTTCTTTTATTCTCTGAAGCCTAAGGCCTGCTGGTGTTCCCTTGAGGAGCCAAGGAGGCCTTATCTTCTTCACCTCCATCCATTAACCCTTTACAGTGGACACACTGTGCACCAAATGCAGACAGTACCTAGAAAGGATTCCATCAGTAAGTCAGCCAGTAAGGTACCTAGAATTTATTAAGTACCTACTGTATGTTGAATACTAGGCTAAGCTCTGAAGATACAGAGGAAGGGAAAGACCATCTCTAGTTTCAAGGAGCTCACAGAAAAATGGGGGAGACAAGATGCAAACAATTCTGTAGAACATTCTACATACAGGATAAACTATACAGGAGATAACACACATAGGAGATAATCAACAGAGGGAATGTAGGAACCTCCATGGGTAGGGTTAAGACCTGAGCAGTCACTCACCCCACCACCATACCCCCTGCCACATCCCAGTTATATCTCACTTTTCTTGCTTTCCTCTGTCCCATAGGCCATCACACTCTTCCATTTTCTCCAGTTCCCCAGTTATCCAAGTACTATGTGGGCTCATTGTGACCAAAAGCCTAGTCTTCACAGCTCTGGTGATGTGTTTGGGCAGGTACAGGAGCTAAGGTGAGTAGGGACCCTCAATCTGACTTCATTTTAACTCCACCAGGAAGCATGACTTTTTCAATTCCCAGACAAAAGCAGCTCCCTGAGCCCTAAACTCTGAAGGAAAGATGCCCAGGCATCTAAAAGTCTCATTCTTAGGTCCAGATGCTGAGGTAGTGTAGTTGAGAATTCCTTGAAATTGCAAGAGTAGGAGCCAAGATGGTGAAGTAAAAAGATAGTCACTCTCACCCTCCCCTATGAACCTCTGAAGGCCCAGAAAATATCGCCCCAGGAGAAACCCTGGAAGAGCTGAACCAGAAGAGGATGGGGAGCAGCAGTGCAGTAGCCCAGGTAGCTTGAGAGATTAATGGGAAAGGTCCCTCTTTACCTTGGGGAAGGGGAGCAGCACCAAATGGAAGGTCCCAGCAAGCTAGAGGAAAACTTCACTTTAGCACACCAGGAGGAGATCCTGAAACCCAAGTTGTGGAGCAGGCAAACACCAACACCTGGACCCCCAAGTGCCTCAGTGAGGGTGGGGGAACCAGTGAAAATCAGTTCAGAAAACCACTAAGTGCCTTGGCATTCTACAGCAAACAAGTCTCCCAGTGCCTCAGCAAAAGTAAGGTAAGGAGCACTACAAAGGGCCCCAGGCAGATAAACACCCTGCAACATCCATCTGAAAGGAGCTGAAGAAAGCAAAAGGAAAGGAAAAGCAGGCAACCTAGAGTTGGCCTAGAGTTCCAGCCTTGCTGATTGCAGCCCAATACCAGATAAGCAGCCAGAATCCTACAGTTTCCAACTGCCAACATCGGAGACCCCAGCACACAAAGCCAGTGACCAAGACCTAGGCTCCCAACACAAGAAGCTTGGGTCAGTGCCCTCTGCTCCCCAGCAGGAGAGTTCAATCTCTTTAAAGGCCAGGGAATAAGGAAACACTATGAGCAAAAAGAAACATACCATAGATTCATATTATGAAAAGAGTGAAGATCAAGGCAGAAATTCTGAAGAGGACATTGTCAACAAACCCACATCTGTAACCTCAAAAGGGAATATGAATTGGTCTGAAGCCCAAAAAGCCTTCTTATAAGAGCTCAAGAAGGATTTTAAAAATGAAATGAGAGAGGTAGAAGAGTCCTTGAAAAATATAATTGGCCAAATGGAGGAGGTAAAAAATCTAATAGAAAAAAAATTTGTTAAAAATTAAAATTGGCCAAATGGAAGCTAATGACTATGAGAGAGCAAGAATGAGTTAAACAGAAACAAAAAAATGAAAACATAGATCAAAATGTAAAATACCTCACTGGTATAACAACTGACCTGGAAAATTGATCCAGGAGAGACAATTTAAAAATTATTGGTCTACCTGAAAATCACGATGAAAAAAAGAGCCTGGACAGTATCTTTCAGGAAATCATAAAGGAAAACTGCCCTGAGGTCCTAGAACCAGAAGGTAAAATAGCCATAGAAAAAAATCCACTGATCACCTCCTGAAAGAGATCCCAAATTGAAAACGCCAAGAAACATAGTAGCCGAATTCCAAAATTACCAGGTCAAAGAGAAAATATTGCAAGCAGCCAGAAAGAAACAATTTAAATATCATGGAACCATAGTCAGGATAATACAAGACCTTGCAACTTCTACATTAAAAGATCATAGGGTATGGAACATGATATTCCATAAGGCAAAGGAACTTGGATTACAACCAAGGATCAACTACCCATCGAAAATGAGTACAATCTTTCAGGGGAGGAGATGGATATTCAGTGAAATAGTGGACTTCCAAACCTTCTTGATAAAAAGACCAGAGCTCAACAGAAAATTTGATCTTCAAGTACAAGACTCAAGAGAGACATAAAAAGGTAAATGGGACAGAAAGATACAATATATTGTCAATAAGGGCAAACTGTTTACATCCCTACAAGGGAAGGTGACATTTGCAACTCTTAAGAACTGTATTGTTATTACACCATGTTAAAGGAGTATACATACAGGGGGTGGATATACTTTTTTCAGATCTGCCTTTCTGCATTGGATTGTGAGGTTTTTGTGCCCTAGTACATGGTCAATTTTTGTGTATGTGACAATGCAGAAGGCAGAAATATTAAATGCATCCTTTTCAGATCATGATACAACAAAATTATATGTATTAAAGGGCCATGGAAAGGTAGACTAAAACATAATTGGAAACTAAATCATCTAATCCTTTAAAATGAGTGGGTCAAACAACAAATCATAGAAACAATCAATAATTTCATTCAAGAGAATGACAATAATGAGACAAAACATACCAAAACTTATGGGATGCAGTGAAAGCAGTTCTTAAGGGAAGTTTTATATCTCTAAATGCTTACATAAATAAAATAGAAAAAGAGGAGATTAATGAATTGGGCATACAACTAAAAAAACTAGAAAAAGAACAAATTAAAAATCTCAACTAAACACCAAATTAGAAATATTGAAAACCAAAGGAAAAATTAATAAAATTGAAATTAAGAAAACTATTGAACTAATAAATAAAACTAAGAGCTGGTTTTATGAAAAAACCAATAAAATAGATAAACCTTTGGTTAATTTAATTAAAAAAAGAAAGAAGAAAACCAAATTACTAGTATCAAGAATGAAAAGGGTGAAGCTACCACCAAGGAAGAGGAAATTAAAACAATAATTAGGAATTATTTTGCCCAACTATATGCCAACAAATTTGACAATCTTAGTGAAATGGATACATATTTACAAAAATATAAATTGCCCAGATTAACAGAAGAGGAAGTAAAATACTTAAATAACCCCATCTCAGAAAAAGAAATTGAACAAGCCATTGATGAACTCCCTAGGAAAAAATCTCCAGGGCCAGATGGATTTACATGCAAATTCTATCAAACATTTAAAGAACAATTAATTCCAATACTATATAGACTATTTGGGAAAATAGGTGAAGAAGGAGTCTTACCAAATTCTTTTTATGATACAAATATGGTGTTGATACCTAAACCAGGAAGAGTCAAAATAGAGAAAGAAAATTATAGACCAATTTCTCTAATGAATATAGATGCAAAAATTTTAAACAAAATATTAGCAAATAGATTACAGCAACTTATCACAAGAATAATACACTATGACCAGGTAGGATTTATACCAGGAATGCAGGGTTGGTTCAATATTAGGAAAACTATCAGCATCTTGAGCATATCAACACCAAAACCAACAGAAACCACATGATCATCTCAATAGATGCAGAAAAAGCTTTTGATAAAATACAACACCCATTCCTATTAAAAACACTAGAAAGCATAGGTATAAATGGAGTCTTCCTTAAAATAATAAATAGCATCTATCTAAAACCTTCAGCAAGCATTATATGTAATGGGGACAGCTAGAAGCATTTCCAATAAGATCAGGGGTGAAACAAGGATGTCCATTATCACCACTGTTGTTCAATATTGTACTGGAAATTAGCTTTAGCAATAAGAGAAGAAAAAGAAATTGAAGGCATTAGAATAGGCAAAGAAGAAACAAAGCTATCACTCTTTGCAGATGACATGATGATATACTTAGAGAATCCTAGAGAATCAAGTAAAAAACTACTTGAAATAATAAACAACTTTAGCAAAGTTGCAGGCTATAAAATAAACCCACATAAATCATCAGCATTTCTATATATTACCAACAAAGCCCAACAGCAAGAGATAGAAAGAGAAATCCATTTAAACTTACTGTAGACATATAAAACCCAGAAACAAGGAACTCTATGAACACAATTACAAAACACTTTCACACAAATAAAATCAGATCTAAATAATTGGAAAAACATCAGTTGCTCATGGGTAGGCCGAGCTAATATAATAAAAATGACAATCCTACCTAAGCTAATTTACTTATTCAGTGCCATACCAATCAAACTACCAAAAAATTATTTATAGAGTTAGAAAAAATAATAACAAGATTCATTTGGAAAAACAAAAGGTCCAGAATATCAAAGGAACTAATGAAAAGAAATGCAGGGAAGGTGGCCTAGCAATTCCAGATCTTAAATTGTATTATAAAGCAGCAATCATCAAAACTGCTTGGTACTGGCTAAGAAATAGAGGTGGATCAGTGGAATAGGTTAAATATGCAAGACACAGTAGTCAATGACTATAGTAATCTATTATTTGATAAACCCAAAGACCCCAGCTTCTGGGATAAGAACCCACTCTTTGAAAAAAACTGCTGGGAAAACTGGAAAAGAGTATGGCAGAAACTAGGCATAGACCCAAAGCTCACACCATATACCAAAATAAAGTCAAAATGGGTTCATGACTTAGATATAAAGGCTGACATAAGAAACTGGGAGAACAAGGAATAGTTTACCTATCAGATCTATGGAGAACAGAAGAATTCATGACCAAACAGGAGATAGAGAACATTAAAAAGCAAAATGGATAATTTTGATTACATTAAATTGAAAAGTTTTTGCACAAACAAAGCCAATGCAACTAAGATTAGAAGGAAGGTAGAAAATTGGGAAAGAATTTTTACAACCAGTCTCTCTGAAAGGCCTCATTTCTAAAATATATAGAGAATTAAGACAAATTTATAAGAAACAAGCCATTCCCCAATTGATAAATGGTCAAAGGATATGAACAGACAGTTCTCAGATGAAGAAATTAAAGCCATCTATAGTTGTATGAAAAAATGTTCTAAATCACTGCGGATTAGAGAAATGCAAATCAAAACAACTCTGAGGTGGCACATCACAACTATCAGATTGGGCAAGATGACAAAACAAGAAAATGATAAATGTTGGAGATGATGTGGGAAAATTGGAACACTAATGCATTGTTAGTGGAGCTGTGAAATGATCCAACCATTTTGGAGAGCAATTTAGAACTATACCCAAAGGGCTATAAAAATGACCCAGCAATAGCACTTCTAGGGCTATATCCCAAAGAGATCATACAAATGGGAAAAGGACCCACATGTACAAAAATATTCATAGCAGCTCTTTTTGTGGTGGCAAAGAATTGGAAATTGAGAGGATGCCCATCAATTGGGGAATGGCTGAGCAAGTTGTGGTATATGAATGTAATGGAATACTATTGTGCTATAAGAAATGATGGATAAGCTGACTTCAGAAAAACCTGGAAAGACTTGTATGGTCTGATGCTGAGTGAAGTGAGCAGAACCAAGAGAACGTTGTACACAATAACAGCCACATTGGTCAATGACTAATATTGATAAACTTAACCATTTCCAGCATTACAAAGATCTAAGACATCTCCAAAGGCCTCATGATGGAAAATGCTATCCACATGCAAAGAAAGAACTATGGAATTTGAATACAGATTTAAGCATACTATTTGCTATTTTTTTTCCTCTTCTGTTAAGTTTTGTTTCCTCTTTCTGGTGGTTCCTCCTATTGGTTCTAATTCTTACTTATAACATCACTAATGTGATAATATGTTTAATAGGAATGTATATGTATAGTCTATATCAGATCATTCGCTGTCTTGGGGAGGGTGGTGGGGAGGAAGGGGTAGAAAAATTTCAAACTCAAAAGCATATGGAAGTGATTGTTGATAAATCAAAATTAATTAATTTTTTTAAAAAAAGAAAATGCAGGAGTGATGAACAAACAGGAGGAAATATCATCCTAAATATAAGTAGGTGTTTCTGGCATTGGCCTGAAGGCTGTGAGCTAGAGGACCTGGGGATGGCTTGTCTGAGCTTGTGTCCCCAAAGGAGAGGCAGGATGTGGGGTAATAAGAAAATAAAAATGGAGGCTTGTTCATGTTTGGTTTGTTTGTTTTTCTTTCTGTCATTGATTCTGCCTGTAGGGCTGGGGTCTGTACCTAGACAGTCCTGGGCGGTTTTGGGTTAGAATTGAAAGCAAGAGGTAACAGGCTTGAAAAAAAAAAAGGAATAATATCAGGCTGTAGGACAGTGGGGAACGATTATTACCTGAATTTTCTCTTCTTTCCTCAGGTAAAGGAAGGAGTCACTCTGAGCTTTCTCAGGACCAAAATGACCTGAAGTGAAATGAACTCATTTCAATGTACATCTCAACCTGAGGTACATTCCTGCCATCCTGAGCTTGGCCCAGGCCACCAGCAATATGCAGACATCCCTATCAGCACAGGCAGTCCAGCCACCATACCCATGCTGATTCCCTGTCCAGATCCTTGAAGCCCTTTTCATGCCCTTTCAGCTTTCAGTGGACCTCAGAGCTCACCTCTTTTTTTTTTCTCTTATGATGAGAAGCACCTATGACTATTTCTGTCATTCTTATTACTCTGTAGATGGGTCAATCTGTTTCTCTTAGGCCTTAGAATGGCTCCTCATTGCATTTGAAATGAAGTTCAAAATCCAAGTACTCAGGACCTTTCATGGTGTGGCCGTCAAATATTGATCCAATCTTCTTTCTCACTATTTCCCTGCAGAGACTCTCCCTTATGGCCAGGTTGGACTCTTCATGTTCTCTAGAATATCATATAAAACTCAAGTATCAAAGGGGGCCACTCACCTGTATATAAAGATCCCTCTGTGCTGTTTGACTTACAAAAACCAGTTATTAATATCATCTGCATTATATTGTATTTAATTTATATTGTTATCTATTTCCCAATTATATCTTAATCTGGTTCAGGGTGCACTTGGGAGCATTGTGGGTGATGTGCAGCCCACATGCGCATTTGGACACATCTGCTCTAGAACAGGGTTATGTTCACCTGCCTATCTTGCTCCTTCCTATTCTGCCTATTTCTAAGGTCCTTCTAGGCTCCTATTCAGGACTTTTATTCATTAAAAGACTTTAGGAATCCTAACTCTTTTAAGAAGACGTGTGTGATCCCACAACCAGATTTGAGGCCCCACTTCTGTTAAAATCCATTGACATTCTATTTCTCCTTTCATATTTATCACTCCCAAACCTGTATTGTCCCAAAGTGGGCTCTTATAGACCAGGGGATCCCAGCCTGGGGTATGTGACCTTTTTCTATAAATATTTTGAAAAGTAGTTTTTCAGGCAGCTAGGTGGCACAGTGGATAGAGTACTGGGCTTGGAGCCAGGAAGACTCATCTTCCTTAATTCAAATCTGCCTTCAGACACTTAGTAGCTGTGGGACCCTGGGCACTCATCCCTGTTTGCCTTAGTTCCTCATCTGTAACACAGACAAGTGAAGGAAATGGAGACTCATTCCTGTATTCTGAACCCACATGAGGTAACAAAGAGTCAGACATGATGGAAAAATGACTGAACAATATTTGTTTCAGGAGTATTGCTTTTCTTCTTATCTAGAGGGTAAATTCAGACATATGGAGAGAATGGAAAGTAGGCAGGAAGAAGAGGGCATAGATTTTGGTTGCTTTCCAAAAAAGAAATCTTTTTTTGAATAAAAGAAAGAGAATAAGGACTTCTAAGAAAGAGATATCTGACCAGGGAATGGGTGCCCCTCATGTACCTCAAGAGGGGCATTGAGAATGTAGGGATCTCAGTATGACTTAGTTATCTCCTGTTTGGTCAAGATACTATTCCCTATTTTGGGTAATGTTATGAAATGTCTTTTGATAAAAAGAGGGGAGGATTTAGGACAAATCAAAAATAAACACAGAATTGTGGATCTCATACAACTGTTGACTGAGCAGAATCTATCAACTTGGAAAACTCCAGTAGTCCTAGTACCCAAACACAGATACACACACACACACACACACACACACACACACACACACACACACACACTTATGGATTTATTCATTTCCATAGTTCACTGCTACCATACAGGAGAAATGCTCCCTCAGGTTACTGAGACATGTACCCCCATTTTAAAAAAACAGGAATCCCTGAGCACTGGGCTCTCAGGCACAAGGACATTCACAAGACATCTTCCACTGAATCCTTTTTGAGAAAATTCTCCATCTTTGGGGTATTTCACCAAGGCTTTTTCTCCCCTTTCTCTAAAAGGAGGAGTGTCTCTGTTACACATATTTTTTGGAGGAAATTTGGGGGTTAACATCACAGATGACAAAGAAGAGAGTATCTCACTGAAGGGTAAAGGAGATAAAAATAAAAAAATAGGAAAAGGGAAGATGGGTTTGGTTCCTCAGGGAGTGTAGGAGTTTGCATTGGAGCATCCCTTATCAAGCAAGAGTAGGGACAGCTACAGACTAGCTCATGAAGCATTGGCTGAGCTCTCCTGGTAACTTCCGGGGAAACAGGTTGACAGAATAGAAGGGATAGACACTTGAGGATGATGCAGTCTCTGGAAGAGTCCTTTTCTCCCATGCTCACCATCCCACACATCACAGCTACAGCAGAATAGGGGGATGCATCAAAGTTCTACCTCTCTGAAGGGGCAATCTCACCACAGATTGCTGCCATTTCAGGCAGTAGGCAGACCTGAGACTGAACAATTGGTTAATTTGGGTTATGGACATTTAATCTACAGAACAGCAGGCTGTATTGAGTCAATGATATCACTGGGGAATTAAGCCAGAAGAGGCACTCCCGGCGCCTCTCAGTGTCTTTCACTGTTTGGTTGCCTGGTCTCTCTTGTCCCATAGAGATGAACATGATCAGGGCCCAGAGACATTGGGTTTTCATTTGGTGGGGCTTAATCAGGCTGAAGATCCTAACATATTGTCCCAGCCTAAGTTTCTATCACCATTAAGGGCAATGGAGCCTGTGACCAGTCCCTAAATTCAGCTTCATACTTGCATATGTCTGTGTGCTGACATGTTTCAAATGTCAGGAGACTGCGTGTGCAGAGCCTTAGTTCTCACCACAGTCCCAAGACCTGATCTAGAAACAAGTTGAAAAATAACTAGTTGAATTACCAAATCACTCAGGGGGTTCAAGCTTAGAGCATTCCCCTAGCTGAACTTCTTTGCCAGAAGTTCTCAAACTTTTTGGTCAGAAGACCCATTTACAGTAATCAAAATTTTCGAGCACACCAAAGAGTTTTTTTTAATGGGGGCTGTATTTATCATTATTTATTATACTTATGTTATTATAAATTATAATAAATAAATTAGAAATATTATTATTATAAATAAATATATTTATGTATTATATATCATTTATTTATCATTTATTTACTGTATTATAAGCAAGATCTAGTAAAATTTTAAAATATTTATTAAATCATTTCAAATAACAACAGCCTTATTACATGTTGACAACTTTTTTTAAAATGAAAAATAAATGTTTTCTTAAACAAAAGAAAATTAGTGAGAAGAGTGACATTAGTTTACATATTCCTTCAAAGCTCTTTAATGTCAGAATGAATAAGAGACAGTTGGATTGTCCTGATGGTGCATTCAGTCTGTTGTTTGTGCTGAAATATATAGAAAAAATTTGGCCTCATCCAAGGAAGGGAGTGAGGATTTTAAGAGACAGAGTCTTGGTGTTATGATGAAAATCGTTTTAACCTAGCAGATATTCTGAAAGAGTCTCAGGGATCCTAAAGCATTCTTCAACCATACTTTAAGAACCTCTGAATTAGATGGTCTCTGAGCTTTCCTTCAGCCCCTGGGTCTGTGACCTGAAGACCTAGTTGATATGTCTGGCAATTGTTCTCTGAACCCCAGATGACCAATGAGTGAAAAGATCTCTAGTTAGATTAAGGACTGTATGTTCAGCATTCAACCTTCCCCTTGTTCCTAATCCTCCTTAGTCAAATCCCTTCCTTGGGGCTGGAAAAAGAACTGATAAGGCTGGGTGGGGAGAATCTAGCCTAAGCAGAAAGAAGAGAAGGGGCAGTCTCTCATTTGCCACTGGCCCCCCTGTCCATAAGGAGAGGTTAATGGAAGAGATAGTGAGGAGATCCAGAAATCTCAATCGCTTCTGCCATAGATCTCCTTCCTAAGTAAATACCACCCCTACAGCTAGCAGCTGCTGTCCATCTGAAATGCTCCCTCTCAGACCGGACAACTCCATTTCTATTTGTCTGAGTCCTGATTGAATTCTAGCCTCAATTCTCGCATCTTTGTCCCCTCACTCTCTTCTCAAACCCCACAGTCTTTTGGGGTCCTAAACATAGGGTTCATGGGTATGAGAACAGAAAACTGGTGCAAGAAGACAAGTTTCACTTGTAGTTCTGTCCTTCTACAGGCCCAGGTAGGAGCTCTAGGGAAGCCTCAGAATTTAGGGAGGTAGAGCCAAGAGGGCAGACTAGCAGACTAGCAGACTAGCTCACCACAAAACTCCTCCAAAAAGACCTAGAAAAGGCACCAGACTGAATCCTGATGGGGAAATCCAGAACAAGTTCCATTGAGTCATTTGTCCAGTCCAGATTAGCACAGAGAGACAGACAGAGAGGCCTGCGGACAATGGGGATGGGATTGGGCCAGAACCCTCCAGTGCCCAGGAAGAGGATGAGGACCAGGTCAAGAGGATGTCTTATACCCACACCAAAGCACGTGAGACCAGGACCAGGGCACTGTAGTGAATACAAGTGCCAACTGATAGCTTTGTTGCCCATTTGCCCAGTTGTGGGTTATAGATCCAGGGCATATTGAGAAATGGTCCTGCCCATGAGGTTGGTGTCCCAATGTAGGGAGGCCCAAGATGGTGTCCTGGCCCACTTAGAAAGAAGAAGTTCAGAAGGAGCAGTATTGTGGCTCAGACTCCAGGAGCAGAGCAGGGTCTCAGTTCTACCATCTAGCCCAGCCTGCAGAAGAACAAGCAGGGCATGGATACCAGACCAAAAGGCAGCCTACAGTTCTGTCCCAATGAACCAACAAAGCCTTCCAGATGGCTGATTGTGGCAGTTGAGCAGCACTGCACTGTTACTCAGGCTGAATGAAACTCAGGTCAGGAACTTAGATCAGGGAGGCAGCAAGTGCACTTGCCCTGGATCAGACTGTGTGTCAGCCCTGCAGCCTTAAAGGTCCTCAACCTGTCCCTGAGATCCTGGAATTACAGAGCACTCAATACTCAAGAAAGCAGCAATAGGATCAGCCAGACTTTCTCTCCAGAAGTGCCACAGAGTCCAGACCTAACAAGACTAAAGACAAGAAATCAGCTAGAAAAATGAGCAAAGAAAAAAAGTACTCCAACATTAAGAGTTGTTTTGTTATCAAGGAAGCTCAAAACACAATTGGAGAAGACAAGAATGATCCCAAAACATGCATAATTGTTGCCTCAGAGAAAAACACAGCTTGGGTACAAACTCAAATAGAAATCCTGGAAGAGATGAAGCAAGAGTTAAAAACTGTTTTAAGAAATGAAATGAGAGTACTTGAGGAAAATAATTGGAAAAGAAATGAGAGTTATGCAAGAAAAAATCTAGGAGGGGGATTAACAGCTTGGAATAAGAAATGGAAAAACTTTCCCAAGCAACTAATTCCCTGAATATTAGAAAGGACCAAGCAGAAGATAATGATACCAATGGACAATAAGAAATATTAAAATCAAGGCAAAAGATGAAAAAAGTCGAAAATTTAAACTATCTCATGTTACAAATGGAGCTAGAAAAGATTGAGAAGATATATTTTAATAAATATTGGGATACCTGACAGCTATGTGACCTTGAAATGCCTAGAAATGATGAAAAATATTGCCCAGATCTTTTGGAACCAGAGCACAAAATGAAAATAAAAAGAATCTACCAATCACTTCCTAAAAGAATCCTCAAATTACAAACTTCCAGTAACTTGATAAGGCAAATCCAGCCCAAGTCAAAACAATAACTACACCCCCCCCAAATCCCAAAACTTGTAAGCACCCAAACAGAAAGAGTTCAGATACCAAGCAAGGTACTACACTCAGGATCCCACAGCTATCCTCTGAGTCACTCACGTTGGTAAGCTTGGTGATATCTGGACTCCCCACTCTCATTCACCACTACTACCACCCCTGTTCTCCTGTACCTAATCTGCTGCCACGGTCTGTTGCTTTTACCCCCATAATATCTCTCTCATTCACCCCTTCCTGCTGTAGACACTCATCTCTTCATTCCTGTACTATTGTAATAGCCTGCTGGGTGCCTCAGGTCTCTGCTTGCTCTATCTTCCCTTCAGGTGTCAAAAGTGATCTTCCTAAAGCATAAGTCCCA